TACAACGCTAGAAACCGGATTTCGATACCCGTGGTGAGCAGAGCACAGATAGCCCATTGTGTAGCTTTGTGCATAACAACAACAACATTTTGACGTTCCAGGTAAAGTTGAGATATTTTAACTGTTTCTACCACTGGCTGTTGCTGCCCCTTAAGAAACTCCATCGTATATCACAGATACACGGCTTAATACACCCATGACTAACAAAACATTACGTAGAACAGTAATGAAAATACTGTGAAAAAAAGTTTAATAAAATACTGAACAATGTTATTTAAGATATCGGTTCTTAGACACTTAGAAAATGTGCTTAAGTATAAGATTCGGTGAGAAATTTATTTTGTTTCAAGTAACAGGATATGTGTCGTCTGATTGTTTTAATGTATTGGTCTATAACTTCTTTTAGCATCCATTTTCTAAAATAGAATTTTTTTCTTATGTTTAACCAACGATTTGTATTAAATACATATAAATTAATTTTAGTTTATACTAATTCCATCTAATTGTTTTAATGTCAAAAATCCTAAAGCCTTGATTTAAAGTTTGACACAAAACGAAACAAACGATTTTCTTGTTTTAAGTTTGATAACTTCCGTGTGTTACGACAGCGGAAGTCACGTGACACTGGTAACACGTAATGAGTATCTCGAAGGTTCTTGAATGCTCGAGTGTTTGCCATACGCCCTCTATTTTGTATATATAAAACCGGCAAGAAGTGACGGGAAGATAGTTGCAGATAGAGAAATTGAAAATGTAGAGACGGACAATTGAGTCAAGCGCGGTAGTGACCGTAAGTAAAGTGCGTGAATCGTTGTGAATTATAGTGTGTTTTTAAGTTAATGAGACTGTGGAAATTAAGTGTATTGCAAAGTTGAATTGAGAAAGAATAAACTAGTTTTATCTAAGAAAAGACTTGTATCGCTAAGGTTTCTTTGGAAATAATTTTAAGGAAAATTAACAAACGAACACGGAGGCGTAACACGTGCAAAGCTGACTTGGCTATAAATGCTACTGTTTGAAAGTCGACAAAATTGTTTTGTACTTTTGAGTTATATTAAACTTTTAAAATTAAAGCAAAATGTGACATATAATTTGCATACAATTTATTCTTGATTTCTACTGTACATACTTTCCCGTTTATTGATTGATCCTGTACCGAACTTAAAGCTCGAGAAAAACAAACGTTATTTCTTAGCAAGAGAAATATAGTTGAGTTTCTTAATATTAGACTATTCCATGTTACTACCTATATGAGGATCAATATAATAACTTCATAAAAGTTTGACATAAACTTTGAAGAATCTACAACTGAAGCGAGAAAATGAAGCATGCTTTGTGAAAAGTATCTTAATATGTTAACAGTCTACGCAAAAATAATTGTGAATCTCAGAACTTTACGAATGTCATTTTGAAATTACTGCAAGGTTACGCTTAATTGCTCAAATGCAGGTTTGCAGCACTGTCACGATATAAAATACTGTTTAGTTTAGATATTATTGATTGAGTTGTTTTTGTGAGTGAATATTTAATTATTGTTTAGTTTTTGTTATAATAAGAGTTAAGGACAGACGACTGTGGGAGAATATGTTGAGATTATTGAATGTCGTGTACAATACATTGACGTCGAGAATACAGAAGGTGGACAGACGTGCAGGTGATAAAGATATAAACAGCGAGAGACAAGCGGGAAGCAGTAGACAGCTTATAGCAGAAGAAAGTAAATTTACACAAGGAAAAGTTAGGAACCATAGTAGTGATAGGCCTAACGTTTAATACGTTAGAGTAAGACTTACACTAGAAACGGGGATAAGAAACATAGTTTATTCCGTCAAAGCTTGGTTCTAAAGAAATTGAATCAGCCTGAGTGCACTTTGACAAAAGGAACAGAGGATCTTCGGAAGAAAGAAGACCTAATGATTATGGTAACTCTCGCCACAATTGTAAATGAATCACACACAGAATACTAATGCGATAGTAATAGAGAAGATAGTTCAGTTTCTCAACTGAAATTCTAAAGTAATTGAATAGGCCTAAGTGGACTTTTGACAAGGAGAAAACTACATAGCATAGTGTTTATGATATGCATGTACTATCTATAGTGTGAGGACTTTGTTGTACATACGTGTAACTTATTCCCAATATATATATTATTTGAAAACAAGTGAAGTCACCTACTGTAGAAAAATCCTAAGCCCAACAACAGCATAGTATTTATCTATACTATTAAAAAATATAACTAAAAACCTTTTATTTTGACAATTGGCAAAAAGAAGAATATATATTTTTTAGTTCTGACAAATGGCGAGCAGCCAGGATTATGCAGTGGTAAACGGTGATAGAAGAAAACGTTAACGAAAGCGGAAATAAGTATATACGTCAACTGTAGTAGTAACGAAAATAGTGTATAGGCTACAATCAGACTATTAACCATGTCAAATTTTTATAAATTCGTAGAAATTGTAGAACGTCTTGAGTTAAAAGACAATGAAGTACAGGAGTTTGTTAAACAACAACAAGAACAGGAGAGAGAAGAACGGCAATAGAAGAGACAAAATGAGAAAGAAGAAAGAGAAAGACTAAAAGAAGAAAAAGAAAGATAAGAAAATGAGAGAAAGAAAAGACTGGAAATAGATAGAGAAAGAATAAAAGCAAAAATTGAAAAAGAGAGAGAAGAGAGACTAGAAATAGAGAGAATAAGAGCACAAATTGAGATAGCACAATTCACCCAACCAAAGGAAGAAGGACCCAAGAATGAAATAGAGTCAGGGCAAGCCGACCTAAGCTGCCCAAATTTGATGAACATAAAGATGACATGGATGCTTTCCTGGAGAGATATGAAAGATTCACCCAAAATCAGAGCTGGGACAAAGGCGACTAGGCAGTCTGTCTCAGCCCACTTCTCACAGGAAAAGGCCTACAAGTAAATGCAGGCATGACGTTGGAAGATGTCATGGATTATGGCAAAATAAAAGTGGTTTTGCTGAAAAGATATGAACTTATTGAAGAAGGTTTTCAGCGGAGTCAAACCCGACACTGGAGAAACTGTATTTCAGTTTGTGGCACGTCTGTGGTGATATTTCACTAGATGGACTGACATGGTCATGTGTGAAAATAATTTTGAGGGACTGGCAGACGTATTAGTATGTGAGCAATTCATGACCACATGTTCAACTGACATGTCACCGTTCCTAAAATAGAGAGCACCAAACGATGTAGACGAGATGATCAAGCTGGCAGAACTGTATATGGAAGCCCATGGAGGTGGTATAACTGGCAAGTCCAAGATTGTTCAGTTAAATTTGAAACCAGTAATGGCTGACCAGAAGCAGGAGTTTACCAATGGTGACAGGAGGTTAATATACAGAAGGGAGAAGATATGTTATGTTTGTTATAAAATGGGGCACATTGCAAAGGGGTGCAAGTCCATTACCAGCAAACAAGAGCAGTAATTTCAACATAAAGCAGCTGGAGCTATTTACAAAGACAATGCTGGTAAGACACAAGAAAGGAATGATTGGCATTATTGATGCTGTTGTCATAAGAAAGAGAATAAAGGCTATTTGTCAAATTCAATTCAAGAAAGCATGATTGATCACTGCACAACTAATGGTTGGTTCAAGTTAGCAAATGGATCAACAGTACTAATAGTGATGGAAGCATGTGATAAATATCAAGAGGTGCCAACAAATCATAATATGCCAATATCTGAAGGCTATGTTGGGGACAAGAAAGTGAAGGTTCTATAAGACATTGGATGCAATAGTGCTGCAGTGAGAACAAGTCTAGTATCTGATGATGAGATGACAGGCAAGGTACGCTTGTATGTGCTAATTGATGGGACAGTGAGAAATTTTTCCATGACAACAATACTGGTGGATACTCAGTATTATGTAGAAGACCTTGAAGCAATGAGTATCAAGGAATCACTGTACAATAGGAAACATACCAGGTAGTAAACATTTAGAGGAACTAGATGAAAGGAAGACTGCCAAAGTACCTGCAGTCATCAGAATAGCTCAAAGGAAAATGATCAAGAAAGATATAAAACCTCTTAAATTCTCGAAGAGAGATAATTCGAATGTAGTTTCACAGGAGCTGAATAAAATGCAGGAAAAGACACTTCACTGCATACACTTTGGGATATTGCCCGAGTGGAATTCAAGCACAAGAAAAGGA